TATCATGTGTATGTTTTTATAAGGTAATACTACTTATCTAAGTGTGGTATGTTCATGAAAAGTTTGCAATTTTTTCCATTAGTGCTGTTTTGGAAAGATTTTTGTTTTTTAATATTGAGAACAGAGCAAAACATATACCTGAGGCCATTAATTCCTTCTCAGTATTTCAATATCTTTCCGTAGTTCTAAGTAGCTAACAGTTCATGGACCAATCAGAGGGTAGGTGTTTCCTTCTGCCAGTTTCCTTTGCAAAATGGTCCAGTGTTATAGTGGGTCCTCAAAGCTGTCAAGAGGTTCCACCAAAACCAGTCCTCCAGGTTCCTTTTCCTCCATCTCTGCTCTTCATTTCTTTGTTTCCTGTATCACCTTCTAAGCTCCCTAAATTCCAACCAAATTTCTAAACACATCAGATCTGTTTTTAGGACTACCCTGAAACCCAGCTCAGGAACAGCCTCCTATTTCAAACCTTCCACCACAAAAATATATGTGAAGGAAATTCATCTAGTGTTTCCTGTACCTTGTTTTGTCTGTGCAACATCTTTATGTGCCCAGACATGGTGTCAGACAGACCTTGGTCACATTGCAGTCACTTTCTGCCTCTCAGCATCCCTAAAAGCAGTACTGCTTAGCTGGGCTATCCTAAACTTGATTCACCATGATGGAAAGAATTTCCAGCACAGATTTTGCTTTAAAAGAGGTAATGAAAGACACCTCGGGAAGGTCACTGCAGAATCTGTAGGATCAGTAATTTCCATTCATTCACACCACCATCTGTGAGGCTGATTCTTTTCCCAGATCAATGGAATGCAGGTCACTGGCCTGAAATGAGTACATGGTCCATAGGGAATCTAGATCATGTACCCAGTATAGGCACAGGACATTCCTGGCAAGGTCTTCTGTTTGAGTCTTAGAATCAGGATGATCACCTAGTTCATGTTGGGCTGCAAAGGAGATGCCCTATGGGCCCAGAGCCCAAACTAAAACTCACTAAAAAACAGAAATGGCAGGGGTGACTAATTTTCCCAGTATTCCAAAGATAGCTGTCATTTTTTTTTTTTTTTTTTTTTTTTTTTTTTTTTTTTTTTTTTTTTTTTTTTTTTTTTTTGGCCAACACACTTGCTTTGTCTGTGCAAATGAAGAAAAGTCTAGTAGTGATCAACACTGGAGTATTTCTCAGATTAATATCATGTATGATATATTATTTATTAAAGCTTGCCTGAGGGCACAGAAAGCAAATCTAGCCACAAGCCATATAGCCAGGCAATGGTGACACCTTTAATACCAGGACTCAAGAGGCAAGCAAATGGATCTCTGTCAGTTCAAGGCCACACTGGGCTACATGAAATTGATCCAGTCCTAAAGAGAAACAGTTTACACAAAGGTGATCTCAGCGCTTGGGATCACATGCCTTTAATCCCAGGATTTGAAGTATAAAAGGAACGGGCAACAATCTGGGATTGCAGTCTGATGCTTGACAGAGACAGGATTGCAATGTGAGGTTTGGTGGAGTGATTTATTCTCTAGTCATACTGAGAACAGGACAGCCCTTTCATCCTGAGGTAGAGATAAGAGCTAGTGGCTGGCTACTTTGTTTCTCTAATCTTCTTCTTGATGCTTGAACCCCAATATCTGTCTCTGGATCATTTGTTAATTGTGTTGCAACCCAAAATGATTTTTTTAATTCTTCCTACTGACCTCAAATGCTGATGTACTTCTTGCAGTCCCACGCATATTTTCAATAGACATGACCTTGACTTTACCACTCTTTACCACTCGGAGCATCATAGCTTATGACACATGATAACTAAATATAAGCAGGTGACGTTAGAGGAAAATTAAAAAAATAATAAGGTACATATTACCACTTACTCAACTGTGGTGACGTTCTTTTTTAAATTTTATTTTAAATTTTAATTTTGTGTGTCGGGAGTGAAGTGTGTACATGTGAATTCAGGTTCTGGGAGAAGGCATTGGATCTCCTAATTCTGGAGTTATATGCCTTTGTGAGGATTGCTAAGAACTGATACTGGGCCCTGTGAAAGAACAGTAAGAGCTCACAATGACTGAGCCATCTCTGCAGTCCCTGTTACTCTCCTTTTTTTATGTGCTATTATATTTGTACAGGATAGAGAAAGACATACAAAGGTATAGGGAAAAGGGAGGCTTTCTGTTCCTGTGTAAGTACATATGCATATATATATATATATATATATATATATATATATATATAT